ATAATATTATTTATTATTATAAACTAAATTTATATATTGAATAAAAAATATGTGATATAAATAAATTCTTATATGTTACAAGTTTAAAAAATAAATTGAATCAAATTGGGTGACCAAAACAAAATAAAACTTAAATTTAGTGATAATTTTGAAAAAAAATAGTAGAGTGACCAAAACGAAATCACATTAATAGTTTAGTGATTAAATATGTAATTTATCATTGTTTTTTCTAACTGAGTTAGCTAACGGCTATAAGTAAATCAACTAGCGATTTAAATTTTAAAGGACAAAACGTCTTAAAAAATATTTTAAGACCCAATTAAATGACATATTTTAGAAGACAATCGTACATTAAAGCCTTCAATTTACTATATACAGATAAAATACTATTTTAATATTAATTAATATTAAATCTCAGAATTAATTTTAAATAATATTTCTGCATTCTTTTAATAAAAAATCATTTTAACCTTTAACCTGAAAAACAATTTTCGTTTAAAATTTGTTCTAACATTAAATTTCCGAGAAAAGCAGCGAGGGTTCGGTGCAGATCACACAAACACAATGCTTTAACGTGGGTCCCACTCCTCCGAAAATCCAACGACCCATTCGGATATCACAGTAGCTTCGACGTGTCAGTTTTTTCTCTCTCTGTTTAAAAGGAAAATAAGCGGAAATAAATTAATTAATGTAGTTATTTATTTAGCGCCACGTTATAACTGAACAATATGGAAGGACAGTTATATCCCTTTTCAGCTGCTTCGTGCACCATGTGACAGTTAGGGGCAGTTTCGTCGTTGGGGTGAAACATCCGTATAAGAAAACTTTATATCGGGTCACACTCCATCGTAGATTCAAATCCACTGGCTCAGACCTCATCCACGCCCCCGAGTTCGCACGCTTTTGACGGTGTCGATTTTTTCAATTTAAAATATTTTAAAAATATATATTGTAAAAAGAAAAGGAGAAAGAGCTTTTATTGCCGTAACTTTCACGCTTATCTGTCTCTTCCTAATAAAAGTAAAAGGACATAAATACCCTCGTTTTTCTGCACAAATTTAATTTGGTAATCAATTATGTTTAAAATACTGTAATTTTTCCTTACTTGAACACTGTAATTATTTTGAACAAAATTTAATCATAACGTTTAATTTACAATTTGATTTAAATTAACATAATAAATATTAATAAACTAAATTTATTAAATGATCACTATAATTTAAAGAGGTTTGTTATTTAATGGCCCAAGTTAAACAATGATATTTAAATAATTTAAGATGTTACTATATATATATATAAAACTTGAAGAATTTTTTTATATAGATAGTACTTTAATTTAAAATAATTAAAGTTTCATATTTACTAAAATTAAATTTAAATTATATCACTCAACAATTAAAAGTCTACTAAACTAAAAAAAATCTGTTTTAGTCCCTTTACTATACGTTGAAAAAAGTATATATTTCAATCCAAATGTTAGTTTATTATTAATTGAATCAAAATATTGAGTTTAAATATCTATTAAATTCATATCAAATTATTAATTTATTAAGGGAATTTATTATTCTAAAAATAATAATTTAATCCATATATATTTCGAAAGTAATTAAATAAGAATGACATATTACGAAATTAAAATTTCTTCTAGTACGTGTTTAATTATGATTGATAATTTTAAAATAAAAAAATCAAATATCTTATATAATATTAAAAATAATTACTAAAACATTCTAAAACTAAATATTATTAAAAAATAAAATATTTTTTATTTTCTTTGTCTATAAAAAATATTTTAAAAATCATTACTAATTTTATCAGAGTTATTTGCCGTTATCGATAATTTTCATAATAACAATATTTTTTGAAAACCTAAGCAAAGGAGGATTTTGATAAAATTGTATTATCTAGCATTATTTTAAGGGTAAAGTACATAAATGGTTATTCAACTATAGAATATTATTTTATTAAGTCTTCTGACTATTAAAATTTTAAAATGGTCCTCCAATTATATGACATTGTTTTGTTGAGTTAATCGACTATTAAAAGTTACAAAATGGTCACTCGACTATTCATTATATTTCAAGCTCGTCATTTTTTGTTAAAAAAAATTGACGACAGTGTAAGCTGGACGTTAACCTGCTGATTGAGATATGATAAAATATAATCTCAAACGAAAGCAATATCATATAATTGGAGGACCATTTGTGTACTTTACCCTTATTTTAATTACTCTAAATTTTAACATAATTTATTAAATATTTTTTGTGTATATTTTTTCATAAAATTTCTTAAATAAGGATAGGATAGGATAGGATAGGATAGGTTAGTTGATTTAACTCATCACTTTCCTCGTAGAACACAAGTCACTGTAACTAAAAAAAACCATTGCGGTCAATAACTCAAGGAGAGTAGTTGAACTTGTGGGCAACAATGTCAAAAAGACATTTTTCATTCGAAATTTTGATTAAAAGAAATTTTTATTTTGACTTAATATAAAAATAAGTATATAAACTATACCCAAAATTAACAGTAGTTGCTTAAAGAATTTTTCATTTGAAATAAGTACATAACGTTTTTTTCGTTACACTTTTAAATGTCTGAGTTGTAACGCCTATTAAATTCAACAGTTAATTGACACATGTTGAACTCATATTTTTTAAATTTTTTATTAAAAATAAAATTATAAAAACAACCCAAATGTTAAAAAAATATCAAAATGACTTGTAGGATTTTGAAACTCGTTTAACTTCATCGAACCAACTCACAAGTTGCTGCCATCGCTAATCAGTCTTCCCTGGCCATTCGTGGTGCGCATCGTCACCACCCCGCAACGTCGTCGTCCATCGACCAAACCCCAACCATCCGTTCACCCTCGTTGTCCGTAGTTAGTCAGAAATCGTGAGTGATCGTTTCATCTCGTCTTCGGTCTCAATCATCGTCAACCCATGATCGTCACCGCCAATGACATTTTAAACGTCTTCTTGCTATTGTCAAAATCCTACCAACCACGCCGCGTAAATTGTCATCAAATGTCGTAGAGAACGTCACAAAATACTTATAAGACTGGAATTTGAACATTTTTTTCTCTCGAAAAAATGTTTTTTTTAATAATAATATTTTTTAAAAAAATAAAGAAATTAAAATTTTATAAGTTTGGTACATGTAAGATAAGGGTTAAATTTAACTATCAGACACCTATAGTATAGTGGAGAAAACGTTAGAGATCTAATTTTAGTAAAAATTCTTTAGGCATCCAAAATCAAATTGATTATAGTTTAGACACTTAAAAGTAAATTAAGCCTTTTATTTTCTGTTCAAAGCTTACTTGAAAAAAAAATCCAGGAGAAAATAATTTAATTTAAAAAAATCAAATTGGAATATTTTATAGGATTTCACTTTTTTGTTTCATTATAATCTCTTTCCTTGTTTCCACAAAAAGAAAAAGACCCCGAAATTTCTCTCGTTTCAGTATTTTGATCGTCGTCGTCATCATCATTTGATTTGAAATCAAACTATTTTTTTTTGAAAACCAGACAAATTTGCTTTGGTTTATGCCCAGAAATTAACTTTTGTTGCTCATTGTTTGGTTTTTGATCCTTTTGATCACGGTTTCACAGAATTCTGTGCCGCACCCACCGATGCCAGATAATCGGCAAGTTCAGAACAATGTTGTGTCGAATCAATCCGCTGATAACGTTGAAGGTAGCACCGATTCTTTGTGCGCTCTTTGTTACTTCAAATCATACAAAGATCTGATGCCGCTTCGTACCTTTCCCTGTTGTTTTTATATTTTAGAATTTCTTTGCTGTGATCAATTTCCATTGTGATCAAAGTTTTTAAATTCTCGTGAAAAGGGTAAATTTCTATCCAGTAAATAAAAATAAGCAACTTCGTATACTTTAATTTGAAAGTTTGTTATTCTTTAATTGGAGCTTCTACAATTGTTTTATATTTTCTTTCTTTTTTGTTGTAAATTGTAGTAGTCATAAATTTTGTTTCAAAGTTCGTTACTTCAATTCTTAAATGTGATCAAGTTTGTTACATAGATTGAGTTATTCTAATTTTGATTAATTTCGAGATCCTGCTTTTTTCTCCCTATGTTTTCAGAAACAATTTTGCGGTTGAAAATTAATGCTAATAATCAAGAGGTGGGTGTTTCAAAATCAGCCACGTACCCTGATCGTCCTGGTGAACCGGATTGTTCTTATTATTTAAGGACTGGATCATGTGGTTATGGAAGTAATTGTCGTTTCAATCATCCGGCTTATGATACTCAGGTAATGAAGTCTTTGTTCTTCTTTTGAATTGAATTGAATTGAATATACTGACAGATTATTTCAATATCAAAAACCCGTGGATTCAGATTCTTATTTACATAGATATTGTTCTCATGGTGTAGTGGTTCAATATGTTATTTTTTGGTGCAGGGTGGCCAATATCAGGAAGAACTCCCTGAAAGAGTTGGACAGCCAGACTGTGGGGTATTATTACTTTCTCATTTAAGATCGGTTACTTAAATTTCCTTTTCTAGTAGGTGTTTGTGTTACTATTTTGTGCTGCTAACTCTCCCTAAGAAAATGGAAGACAACTAATGCGGTTGGTTATGCAAGTAGATGTTATTTAATTAGAAACAAAATTTTGGGGAATGAATATTGCTTGGATTATCATTCACTTGAACTTTGGAATACATAGCATACATGATTTTGTGTAGATGTGCGAGATTGTTAACATGATACGTGGCATTATGGAGTTTTTGATTGTGCTAGTCATCATTTTACTGTTGCTTTTATTTTGGGTGGTGTAATGTCAATGATAATGTTTAACCGGTGGACAGCAGGGACTATGATCTTCTTAATCTTACCAGTGTGCTAATGTAGCTCAGGGTCTTCGTTGATATGTTTGATCTAGTGCTAAACTGTTTTGACAATATGTCTATGCTGTCTCTCTGTCATATATATATGTTTGTCAAGATTAACAATGCATTTGTTTTAGAAAGCTTTTAATTTTGTAGTTTTCATTAACCTCCTTTGCAGTACTTTTTAAAGACAGGAGCTTGCAAATATGGATCCACATGTAAATATCATCATCCAAAGGACAGGAATGGAGCTGGACCTGTTACATTTAACATTCTTGGTCTTCCTATGCGACAGGTTCTTTCTTTCTCTCTTCTTTAATGTGCTCGCCTGACCTTATGTAGTCTCATGCTGGCTTTATATTTTTCAGGATGAAAAATCTTGTCCTTATTTCATGAGGACCGGATCATGTAAATTTGGAGTTGCATGCAAGTTCCATCATCCCCAGCCTGTTTCACCTGGGGCTGGCTTACCTGTAAATGGACCTGTGGGACCATCAGTTTTGCCACCAACAGGTGTGCCGTATGCTGGTGGATTACCCTCATTGTCATTACCTAGGGCACCATTTGTCTCTGGCCCGCGTTTACAAACCCAAACCTACATGCCTGTTGTTGTTTCTCCTCCTCAAAACATAATTCCTGCAAATGGCTGGAGCACCTACATTGTAAGTGAATGTTTCTTTTGTTGAGTAATGTTTCTCTGAACTTCAGGCTCCAATATAATGTAGTCAATGAAATCTAATTTCTGCAAGGTGCCATCATTCGAGGCTTTCCTTTTTCCATTCTTTGACAGTGTAAAATGCAAAGTATATTGGACCGACTTCTTAACTTGTGAAATGTTTCACTTGTCCTAAAGCAAGCTCCATAAAGTTCTCTGCAAGTGTAAACAATTTGTTGATCTCCTTGACTTTCAATTCAATTTAACTTTTGATTGCCAAATTAAATGTCGTGTTTCCAATCGCTGAATATGAGAATAATGTGAACGTTGCCATTTTTTAAAATGAAGTTACACAGTATTTATTGTTTACATATTGCTTTATGAACTTTCGTTTTCCATATGTAATTAAGACCTGAAGGTCGGTCCTATTGTTTTTCTTCTTTTACTTTGTTTTTTTAGAAAGACTCATGATATGATTTTTCATCTTATCAGCTAACGTCATTTTATTAGTTGTTTGTTTTCAGTGTTCATGATGTTGCTACATCCCATATCTGTTACATTTGACAATTTGTTTGACATTTGGCTACGAATGGCTAGTTAATGACTTGTTCTAACCGGAAGTGAATGTCATTTAGATGTTATGATAAAATTACCTGGTCTTGACTCCATTCTTTTATACGAACTCACTTACTATCAGGCACATTTTCTTTTTCATAGTTGTAAGTGTTAGACCGTTAGATCTCTTCATCTTTGCTCACTTGTTTCTTTAGCTGTTTACTGAGGAAGTCTGAAAGGAATGCTTTTCTTTATATATGAAATGTATACTTAAAATTATTAACTTTGTTGCTATTCAAGTATTTGTTATCCAAAACAAACAAAATCGTGTCTTAAATGTGTTACTATATGTTTCTTTTCGGAAAACTAAAAGAGAGCGTTGCTATGTATTCTGCAAATTTGTGTTTGCATACGTATTTGATATTTCATGCACGTCTATCACCACAAAGTTACATAGATGTGACTCATGGCAGCTTTGCATATTTCATGTACATATCTGACAGATCCCTGCAACTACATGCCTCACACAGCATGTTTATTTTTGCTTTTGTTTTATTTCTTTCTTTCTTTTATATGAAAAACAATGTTTATGGGTAGCTCTTGCCGATTGGAATTTCTTTCCTTTGCCACATTTTATTTTCTTCATTACTAATTTAACTCTGATCAGGGAAATATGAGTGCCGTATCTTCAGCTGGTGTTCTTGGATCCAATTATGCTTACAACTCGATGAATCCCACAGAGTCTGGTTCTAGTGGACAGATGCTTTTGTCATCCACATCTGCTTCTAACCATCCTGAAAGACCTGATCAACCAGAGTGTAGGTATTATATGAACACTGGAACTTGCAAATATGGATCTGATTGCAAGTACCATCATCCAAAGGAGAGGATTGCAAATTCAGCCATTAATAGTGTTGGCCCTCTTGGACTTCCTTCGAGACCTGTAAGTTTCGTGTGTATTTTTACATGATTAGGTATGGGTACTAAATATCGACCCGGGAATTCATATGCCAGTTTCCATTTTCGTCAGTTATAAGTAGGTTTTTTTTTTTTTTGGGGGGGGGGAACTCACTTTTGATAATAAATACTCGTGCTAAATAATTGTTTGATTTGTTGTTCTTTGTATGTAGGGGCAAGCTGTATGTTCTAGCTACAGTATGTATGGATTGTGCAAGTACGGGCCAACATGCAGATTCGATCACCCTTATTTGGGATATCCTTATGCTCCAAGCCTTCCTTTACCTGTGTTCGGTACATCTCTTCTAGCATATCAAAGAATGCCACCAACAGTCCATTTGTCCGAAGCTCCTTTGCCATCGAGACTTCCTGATTGGGCACGAAAAGCCAACCCCGTGAGCAAGAAACATCAGAACTTGGAAACTAAGAATTCAGACGATCCATTCGAACATGTTGCTTTACCACATTCATTGCAGACTTCGTCGAAAACCTCACAAGATTAAAACTGATTTAATCCATGTCATTTTATCATCTTTTTTAACTTGTTTTGTTTTGTTAATTCGAAACCATCGGAGAAGACTTCCATGATACTGTACCTCTTGCACCTCCTTTCACCTGTGATCTGACAGTGTTGTAGGTTCCCCCCCCCCCTGAATATTTGATATGTGCAAAGTTCTGGGGGACAAGGCAAGTTTTGTTTTTTGTGGTGAATAAAACGCAGGTGAAAAGTTGTAAGATCCTTTATTTCTTGGAGTTATGTTCGTCTCATGATTAATGCTTCTATATCATTAGACCATTTATAGTCTACAAGTAATTAGTGCTTTAATGACATTTTTTTATAAATTGTTTATATTAGATTATACCATACCACCCACACACACAAATATATATATATAATTTAAGTAAACAGATTTTTAGAAGGAAAAGATATTTTTAAAATTTTTAAGTGATATTAACTTTAAGATAAAGTACACCAATGATCACTTAATTATAAGGGATACTATTTAAACATTGTTAATCAAGTTACTTGTTGTTAATATTTGATGGAATGACTAACGTGGTAGCTAGAAATATTTATATATTTAGTTTTCATTGCATACACATTTAATCAATTTGATCTTAATTTTAGTTTTTTTATTTGTTTAAGGTAAATACAAAGTATTTTGTGTTCAATATCTCTCAACCATTTGAAATTAAATGCTCATACTCTTGATATTTATGGTGCTCGAATTTGGGACCTCATGAATAATAATAATTTTTTTATCAATGAGTTTGCTTGGTTCGTGTTTTAATTTAATTAAATAAATTTGATTTACAAATAAAAAACAGATAAAATAAATTAAATTTGATTCGAAGACAAGATCAAACCTGAGTCCTAGAGTAAGAGTAGGTATGTCATAAATTTAATTAATTTAATTTAATTAAATAAATTTAATTTTCAAATCAAAAACAGACAAAATAAATTAAATTTGACTTGAAAATAGATTAACCTTGAAATTTAGAATGAGAGTTAGGCCTACCTTAAATTTGACAATAATTTTTAACATATTTTATATATCATATTATAATTAGTAAATAGAAAAACAAGGAAACAAAATTGGTAATACGAAGACTTGTACCTAGAAGTTTTTTTTTTTGAAAGAGGGTACTTTGTATTAAGAACGGTTACAAAGTACACCACTTCAAGGATCTCATTAAAAAACCTCCCTAATTCTAAATGGAGAAAAAAGAGTGTGCCTTGAGGTGGTAATAATCCAAATAAAAAACACAAAGTTGAAACATCACACAAACCAAACTCCAGCCCAACACATCAAACAAACATCACCCGCAACCAGAGCTTAAACGAACACTAGCCCAGAGTCGTGGAAAGCCACACTTGCTGAAATTGACAGACTCAGATGGAGGCAAAGATAAATATGAAACATCAACGGCTCTTCCATTCACTCAAGAAGTAATCACCCATACTCAATAAGATATGTAACACCCCCAACTCGTATCCGACCCGGATACGATTCCGAAGTGTCACATTGACTTTTCAAACCTTGACTCTTAAGAAAAATCCCGGGAAAATTTTTAAAACTTTATTTAAATCAAAATAAAGACTTTATCAGAGTGCTCGTACTTAATGACTTATTACATGCCAACACTTTATACATAACCAAATACATACTTTGTCAAATATTTCTGATCTGATCTTTTGGTAAGGAAAACTGACCTGTCTTGCTCCGCATCACTCCTTACTCTTCTCGAAACCTACGTGTGAAACAATCACACGCTAAGTCGAAGACTTAGTGAGGCATAACAACTTATAATGCACTTTAAAACATATATTGATACATGCATGTTTTGTTCTATCATGTTATAGCAATTCCATGCATTTTTCATATCGTATAAAATCATATCAGATTAATTGCAGTAAATACATACATACACATAATTCATCATTAACAGTTTATCATATAATCACATACTTTTTCAATCAAACACTATACACACACAACATCATATCATTTCTATAGCATTTATCATACCACTAACTTATATTTGTTCATATCTCTGGATTAGCCCATGTACATATGTGAGAACTATCGATATGAGTCTATAGAGGTTGTGCACTATGCTGTCACCACAGCTCGTATAAATGCACCGAAGTGCCCCGTAGAATTGCACCGTAGTGTCATATAATGATGTCCATAAGGACCACATAGAATTCTTTAAGAATCATATACATATGCTAGGGATCAAGTATGTGTCTTTCCAGACTTCACACATGTTCCAAAGAATATACATATGTCCCGAAGAACCGCGTAGAATTGCACCGTAGTGCCATATAATAATGTCCATAAGGACCACATAGAATTCTTTAAGAATCATATACATATGCTAGGGATCAAGTATGTGTCTTTCCAGACTTCACACATGTTCCAAAGAATATACATATGTCCCGAAGAACCGCGTAGACCCTCGACTCTTGGCATGCCAACTATACCCCTAGCTCTCATGACACATAACATGGGCGTTATCATTTATTTCATTTCAAATATTCACATAAACTTGTAATTCACTTTCACATATCACTTATCACATAGCTTCTTTTCATATGATCACATAGTCACGTAGTTCACTTACACGTATATCATTTCCATATAATTCACATGTCACATATGTCATGTTTTCATATAATTTCTATCATTTCTCACCCAATCACCTTTATTCATGTACACATACTCATCATATCTTGTTCACATATGATCATATACTTCATATAACAGATAGGAACACTTTCACGTAGCTTATAATCATAAGTTTTGTCTCATAACATATACTTGTTTTCACATATATATTTCATATCAATTCTTATACCATCACATAATTCCTTTAACATACATAACATATCGTGTAACATTATAATAGAAATACTTATAAGTCATATCACTTAGAGCACATATATTTATAGTCACATTGCTTATATCTTAATCTTATGCCTTCTCTTAGATATATATATATATATTCACATGTTCAGGTAATCCACCATTTCATCACATAATTGTGTATTCATATAACTCATTTCATTTCATTTCATATCTATCTATATATATATCCTCAAGATTATCCTAATATAAATCATATAGCACTCTTATATTTCGTATTCATATTCATCTAGGGCAGACTTATAAACATATCTCACTTCTATTATTTCTCTATATAATCTAATCTGTTTACTTAATTCAATTTCATATAACTCCTATAATCTTCTCATATAACTTCATAATTTTCTATCATACAACCCATGTGTTATAGTTTTATTTAAACATATAAATCTTTCCCATCTAGCTTATCTTATATGTTCATCTTATCATTTATGTTCAAATCTCCTAGTTAGTGTACTATTCTCACTTCATCCTATAGATCAATATTATCCAGCTTATTTCACTTATCATATAATAATAATTATATTTTACTATGATCACATAGTTTATATCTCATATAATTCATAACTTTTCTTATGGAATTACTTATACTTTATCATCCAACACATAAAAGAACATATCAATCCATATAATCAAGCATACATACATGCATATTCCACTCATGCCTTTAATCATGAATTCATGTGTAACACTTTAGGAAATAGACTCATCACAAGTCTTATTCCCATCGCACATCGTATACTATTGAATATGCACTCACCTGGCCTCACTAGTCAATTCCAATCTCTTATCTTTCCCTTGATCAATCTTACTTGCCAAACGTTCCGGAATTTCTTTATGCGTAGAATCTACATAAATGTACATTTCGAGGTAATCATTAGATACCTACACCTTTTAATTAGATACTAGCAACTTAAACGAACTTATTAAACCAATATTCCCATTTTTCCTTTAGGGGGAATCGGTTCCCTACTGAGGGGGTATCGATTCCCTCATGACATTCTGGAAATTTTGTTGTTTGAAGGGGTATCGGTTCCCCTTGAATGGGTACCGATTCCCCTTGCCCAGAAATCATATTTTTAACCCGAAAATTACTTCATTTCCTCTCAAACACTTCATATATCATCCCCTTTTCATTCTTAACTCTAGTACACATACTTAAACCAATCTATATTCATTTATTTCATCTTAAACCTCAAAATCCTATATTCCATACGAGATTCAAAAAATCATACCAAATTTTCAATGTGTTCTAAATCCAATTCTAACACTTTATACTTCTTAATTAGATTGATGACAAGTCAAATTCATCCTTAGAATTTCAAAAACCTTTCTATATCAAAATTTCATTTCTAATCTTTTAATAGAAATTCCTTTCTAATTCTCCCTTCTTGATGTTTTAAGTTTATACAAGCTTTCCTTAAGCTTATATAACCCCCCCAAAGATTCAAAACCAACTTATAAATTCCAGAAATTAACAGTTAAAAATCAAACTTACCTTTAAGCTGGAGCTACGAGAAGAAGAAGAAGAGAGCAAGAAGAAGGCTTCCAGGACTCTCCCAAAACCCACGTATCTCACCTGTATTTAAAGGAAATACAAAATATCCTTTAAGCTGAAAAGACTAAATTGCCCCTTTAATTATCCATCTATGCTATTCAATCCATCATCAAAATTCTTTACTTAAATCCCAACACTTTTAACTTATTTCAAAATTGAGCACACAGTTTCCAAAATTTACATTTTAGTCACTGATCCGGCTTTTGGGATGTTACAAATCTCCCATCCTTATAAGAAAATTCGCCCTCGAATTTTCACTGAACATCTTAGTAAGAACATATCTTCTAATGTTCTTATGTTGCTTCCCTGACTTATTCTTTCTTGTCATCATAAGAAACTTACTTTTCAATCCTTAAGTTTCCAACGATCTTTTTCGTTTATACATTCCTCTTCTGTTGCTTATCATATAAATAATAACCAGTAATACCAATCCATTGTTGTCTTTTCTCTCATTCGATTATGCATTTTTCCTTTGACCTTTCTAAAATTCCATATAATGTCACTCATCACGTTGACAGTACATCCATCTCATTACTCTATATCATAAATCCATCTATTTCTTCATAACTCTCTAATTACCTCATAACCATACCAAACTTGTATTTCGTCATCATTTGACCAAAACACAACTTTAGATCTTCTTCAATGTGATTAAACATATACTTTAAGGAATCAAACAATATTTTCACATCACCTTGCACACTTGTCTTATTTCTATATCAAAATTGTTCTCTATACTTCCATATTTATCGTATCTGATTCTTTTAAATGAATCCCTTTCGTTTCTTTATTCCTTATTCCTTATACATCAATCATATATTTCCTTTCATATTCACATACTCTGGTCTTATCACTTATACTCATCTTTATGTACCAATCTTCATTGCATCCTCATTACTCTGATAACCCATTTCTTATACATAGCTTCATTCTTTATCATTTATTATACTTGTATTTCCTTCCTGAAGGTTCCATGCAAATACTTATTTCTGTTTCTACATCATAGCTATCTGCTCAGAATATACAACTATATTCAAATTCACATCATAATCAATTAACTCCACTATATCTTTCCTCCACTCTTAAAACTCTAGCACCTTTACTCTGACCGTTAGATAATAACTTTTGTTAAATCTAGGGCACAAGCCCTATTATACCAATCATATACATCCTTTCCAATCTAGATTATCTCAAAATTCGCTTACTCCACTTATCAATTTCACCTCTATTCTCATACACCCTGAAATTTCTTTTGCTCAAACTCAACATTCTGACTTCCTATGTCCTATAATCTGATCATCGATATACACATTCTCAAACTCTTCTTATCAATCCTCAGCTTTACTTAAATATACAAATTCTTACTTCCTTTTCCTTTACTATACCTCATTACTATGATCCAAATATGCAACTATATCCAGATCCATTGCAGATCTGGTTATCATATCCTGACAATATCTTATAATCTTATAATTCCAGTACATTTTTATCACATACTCTAGTTAGCCAATGCTAACTCTTTCCATCTTAACTGCAAACCCTTATCATAAACATACTCTTGTTTATGCGCAATATTATCACTTCGTTTCAAACTCATAAGCTCTGACTTATACATCTTATACGCTTGTCACTGATGCACTTATCCTTGAGTTCTTCTATACGTAATCATCACGTCATTAGATCTTTTTAACATTCTTATGGTGACACCCGTTCACCATCTTCTATCTTATTCACATAATAGCAAAACTACTCTACATCGTTTTTCCGATTCCAAACGATGAAAATTTTCTATCATTATTCAGATATGATTTCAGCTTTCTGAAATCAACTTTTGATCTTACTAGGCATTTCCTGAGGTGTCCGCTCTTCATCCTGCCTGGCCAGAGCAAGTGAATAGCTATCACAATCAGGAATATCACCTTTCACTTACTTCGAAATTATCACGATCGGATTTCTACTGTAATAAACTATTCTTGTTTTATTAGCAAGACAACGTATTCCTTACACTATCAGATCAGAAATTTTTCAATCTATGTTGGCATGTACACCTTTTATGACATTTTAGACTTCGGTTTATGCCGAGAATCGGCTAAACCATGGCTCTGATACCATTAAATGTAACACCCCCAACTCGTATCCGACCCGGATACGATTCCGAAGTGTCACATTGACTTTTCAAACCTTGACTCTTAAGAAAAATCCCGGGAAAATTTTTAAAACTTTATTTAAATCAAAATAAAGACTTTATCAGAGTGCTCGTACTTAATGACTTATTACATGCCAACACTTTATACATAACCAAATACATACTTTGTCAAATATTTCTGATCTGATCTTTTGGTAAGGAAAACTGACCTGTCTTGCTCCGCATCACTCCTTACTCTTCTCGAAACCTACGTGTGAAACAATCACACGCTAAGTCGAAGACTTAGTGAGGCATAACAACTTATAATGCACTTTAAAACATATATTGATACATGCATGTTCTGTTCTATCATGTTATAGCAATTCCATGCATTTTTCATATCGTATAAAATCATATCAGATTAATTGCAGTAAATACATACATACACATAATTCATCATTAACAGTTTATCATATAATCACATACTTTTTCAATCAAACACTATACACACACAACATCATATCATTTCTATAGCATTTATCATACCACTAACTTATATTTGTTCATATCTCTGGATTAGCCCATGTACATATGTGAGAACTATCGATATGAGTCTATAGAGGTTGTGCACTATGCTGTCACCACAGCTCGTATAAATGCACCGAAGTGCCCCGTAGAATTGCACCGTAGTGTCATATAATGATGTCCATAAGGACCACATAGAATTCTTTAAGAATCATATACATATGCTAGGGATCAAGTATGTGTCTTTCCAGACTTCACACATGTTCCAAAGAATATACATATGTCCCGAAGAACCGCGTAGAATTGCACCGTAGTGCCATATAATAATGTCCATAAGGACCACATATAATTCTTTAAGAATCATATACATATGCTAGGGATCAAGTATGTGTCTTTCCAGACTTCACACATGTTCCAAAGAATATGCATATGTCCCGAAGAACCGCGTAGACCCTCGACTCTTGGCATGCCAACTATACCCCTAGCTCTCATGACACATAACATGGGCGTTATCATTTATTTCATTTCAAATATTCACATAAACTTGTAATTCACTTTCACATATCACTTATCACATAGCTTCTTTTCATATGATCACATAGTCACGTAGTTCACTTACACGTATATCATTTCCATATAATTCACATGTCACATATGTCATGTTTTCATATAATTTCTATCATTTCTCACCCAATCACCTTTATTCATGTACACATACTCATCATATCTTGTTCACATATGATCATATACTTCATATAACAGATAGGAACACTTTCACGTAGCTTATAATCATAAGTTTTGTCTCATAACATATACTTGTTTTCACATATATATTTCATATCAATTCTTATACCATCACATAATTCCTTTAACATACATAACATATCGTGTAACATTATAATAGAAATACTTATAAGTCATATCACTTAGAGCACATATATTTATAGTCACATTGCTTATATCTTAATCTTATGCCTTCTCTTAGATATATATATATATATATTCACATGTTCAGGTAATCCACCATTTCATCACATAATTGTGTATTCATATAACTCATTTCATTTCATTTCATATCTATCTATATATATATATCCTCAAGATTATCCTAATATAAATCATATAGCACTCTTATATTTCGTATTCATATTCATCTAGGGCAGACTTATAAACATATCTCACTTCTATTATTTCTCTATATATAATCTAATCTGTTTACTTAATTCAATTTCATATAACTCCTATAATCTTCTCATATAACTTCATAATTTTCTATCATACAACCCATGTGTTATAGTTTTATTTAAACATATAAATCTTTCCCATCTAGCTTATCTTATATGTTCATCTTATCATTTATGTTCAAATCTCCTAGTTAGTGTACTATTCTCACTTCATCCTATAGATCAATATTATCCAGCTTATTTCACTTATCATATAATAATAATTATATTTTACTATGATCACATAGTTTATATCTCATATAATTCATAACCTTTCTTATGGAATTACTTATACTTTATCATCCAACACATAAAAGAACAGATCAATCCATATAATCAAGCATACATACATGCATATTCCACTCATGCCTTTAATCATGAATTCATGTGTAACACTTTAGGAAATAGACTCATCGCAAGTCTTATTCCCATCGCACATCGTATACTATTGAATATGCACTCACCTGGCCTCACTAGTCAATTCCAATCTCTTATCTTTCCCTTGATCAATCTTACTTGCCAAACGTTCCGGAATTTCTTTATGCGTAGAATCTATATAAATGTACATTTCGAGGTAATCATTAGATACCTACACCTTTTAATTAGATACTAGCAACTTAAACGAACTTATTAAACCAATATTCCCATTTTTCCTTTAGGGGGAATCGGTTCCCTACTGAGGGGGTATCGATTCCCTCATGACATTCTGGAAATTTTGTCGTTTGAAGGGGTATCGGTTCCCCTTGAATGGGTACCGATTCCCCTTGCCCAGAAATCATATTTTTAACCCGAAAATTACTTCATTTCCTCTCAAACACTTCATATATCATCCCCTTTTCATTCTTAACTCTAGTACACATACTTAAACCAATCTATATTCATTTATTTCATCTTAAACCTCAAAATCCTATATTCCATACGAGATTCAAAAAATCATACCAATTTTCAATGTGTTCTAAATCCAATTCTAACACTTTATACTTCTTAATTAGATTGATGACAAGTCAAATTCATCCTTAGAATTTCAAAAACCTTTCTATATCAAAATTTCATTTCTAATCTTTTAATAGAAATTCCTTTCTAATTCTCCCTTCTTGATGTTTTAAGTTTATACAAGCTTTCCTTAAGCTTATATAACCCCCCAAAGATTCAAAACCAACTTATAAATTCCAGAAATTAACAGTTAAAAATCAAACTTACCTTTAAGCTGGAGCTACGAGAAGAAGAAGAAGAGAGCAAGAAGAAGGCTTCCAGAACTCTCCCAAAACCCACGTATCTCACCTGTATTTAAAGGAAATACAAAATATCCTTTAAGCTGAAAAGACTAAATTGCCCCTTTAATTATCCATCTATGCTATTCAATCCATCATCAAAATTCTTTACTTAAATCCCAACACTTTTAACTTATTTCAAAATTGAGCACACAGTTTCCAAAATTTACATTTTAGTCACTGATCCGGCTTTTGGGATGTTACAAGATATGTTCACCCAGCACCACTACCACTGCAGGCAGGTTCACGATGCAATCGACCTTAATCTTACAATGTCCGATATGAAACTCTGCCTTCAATCAATAATGGACCCTTGACACTGTTGGTAAAATAGACTACTGCAAAACGAGGCATTACCATTGACTGGAAAAATATATATTGAAATATGTAAACAAATAACCAATTAACCGTGTCGTGGTATTAACCACTACCCTAGAAACGAATTCGCCCCGATGTGTGTAATCGCTGCAGTAGGCGGACCGTCCCCCGAGGTTAACACGGTCGCTCCGAATTCCGTACACCCGAAATCGGAGTGGACTGATGGTGGTATTGCACTTCTGATCGGAAAGCACGGAGAGAACAACTTTAGAAAACACTTGGAGAGTGA